ACCAACAAATATAAAAAACAAAACTGCATAGTATGCTTCTAATTACAACAACATAACAGTGAACTTTATCAAGGCACATTTCAAACTGCTTTCAACAATAATAACCTCAGCCATTTTAGCCCTGCTAACATGAGAAAAAAAAATCACTATAACAGTCCCTTAGTAGACCTCTCTTTACATTTTTTTTCCTTTATCTGCCTATATTGAAATTGCATCAGACACCTCAATATTCAGTTCAGTTGAGCCATACCATATAAAAAAAAACATTAAGTGCATATTATGAGGTGAATAACATGTTAATTGCATCATACTGTTAAAAAATCAATCCTCATTACTTGTTTGACTAACATGACTGTCACTTTGCATGTAGTTTGCCAACATTTGCATCTAATGAGAGAAATGGCATTTTTTTGACTTAGCAAGAGCAGTGAAGTCAGGTGTATATGTTGTCAGGGCAATGCGTAAGCAGTGTTGCAGATGCTGGTCAGTGAGGGATATGCGATTGTGAGTTTTAATGGCATTCATGTGTGAGAATGACGACTCACAAGTGTATGTTGAGCCAAACATTGTCAGAAGAAAAAGTGCAAGACCCCTTGAGTGTGGAAATTTTTCTTGGCTGACTACATGAGTCCAGAATTTTTCAAAACCTGCCTGCTGCAATGACTGTCGCAAGTCATCTGACGACTGAATGTCAATGAGTTCCAGTTGTAAAAAACCTTCATCCAATGATGGTACTAGCTCCTTTCCTTTCAATGCAAAGTCTGTCTCAACATTCACACAGAAAGGGTCCTTAACATATCTCACCACTTCGCTGGAGATGCTGAAATCATCAAACCTGGTGGAAAAGTTGTTTTTCAGTGAGTCAATAAAGCCTGACATCACCTCAGTAATTTGCAGACCAGATTTCCTTAATATGGGGAAGTGGAGCATCTTCCCAGGACAAAGATCAGCAGAGAAGAGTGAGAGCTTTCTTAGAAAAGCATGAAGTTTCTCCACAAGTTCTGAGACTGTTTTATCCCTGCCCTGCAACTCCATGTTGAGTTGATTCAAATGATGGAAAACGTCACTCAAAAAGCAAACAGTGGCATTAAAATCATCATTTCCCATCAGAGACAGAAACTTGCCAGCTTTTTTCATTTTTGAAGACTGGAGAAACACCAGAATCTCCTCTTTTAGTTCACAAAAACGTTTCAATGCGTTTCCTTTGCTAAGCCATCTAATGTCATTGTGAATGAGCAAATCTTTGTATTCAGCAGACATGTCAGTCAACAGCTGGCGGAAAAGGCGGTGCTGTAAACTGGAGGTGCAACGGATAAAGTTTATAATTGCCATGACAGAGTCCATGGTCTCTTTTAACTTAGCACTGAGTTTGGCACACAGAAGGCTTTGGTGGATGAGGCAATGTAGCGATCTCATACGTGGAGCCAAAGCTGCCATCCTCGCGGCAAGCCCCTGATCCCTGCCCACCATCGAGGGCGCGCCATCCGTCACCAGCATGTTGACGCGCGCCAAATCCAAGTTGTTCTCCTCAAAGAATGAAGCAATTTTGGTGAATAAAATCTCACCAGTGGTGTGCCCTTCCAGAGGAATTAGTCCAAGCAGATCCTCGCGAAAACATTCTCCATCAAAAAATCGCACATAGAGACACAACTGCGCAACATCACCGTTATCGGTCGACTCATCCACGGCCAAAGACATCACCTCAGCCTTCCTCAGCTTGTCCAAAAGTGTCTCGAAAACATCCGAGGCAAGGGACTCGACTCTCCTCATATTTGACGTGTCAGATATTGGAATTTGCTTGATCGAATCAATAACGCTTTTTCGGGTTTTTTCATCTGTTACCACCTCATTAATGGATGCCAGCATACATTCCTTGACTATCTCCGAGTCTGTAAACGGCTTTTTCTTTTTTCCCAATATCCATGCCACTCGTAACGATGCAGCCGTCGCTCTCTCTTGATCCGTACAGGCCCGAAACAATATGCGACGTCTTTGCTCATAACAAGATGTGAGCCCTGAAATCTTCTGGCTCCGAGCGGCTGAGCCCGGTGGGAAAGTCGCGTTGAAGTTAGCATGCGTTGTGTTGAGATGCCTTCTTAAATTATACTCTTTACACACGGCGAGGCACTCGTTGCAGATTAAGCACACAGGATTCGCATCAACTGCAATAAACGCGTATTTCTCTGTCCATTCATTGTTGAACTGCCTGTTCTCCGAGTCAACTTTTCTTTTTTTTAAGGTAGAGAGAGACATTTTGTCTTGTTTGCCAACCTTCTCGCTTGACAGATACAAGTCAGAGAATTGAATTAGAGCGCGCCGTGAATGGTGATTTTTGATTGGTCATGTGCGGTCTCCCAAAATATATGTCCGACGTAAACAGGTATTTGTTTATGTATTCCTGTTTTTCCACCATGACTTAAACGTGCGCATCCCGCCTCCTACTGCACGAGAGAACGTGCAGTTTGTCATATTCATGCACTATGTAAGACTATCAGTATGTAATAATCACAGTACACTCTAGGGGCCGGTACAAAAACCCAAAGGGGCCGGACCTGGCCCGGGGGCCGCCAATTGAATAGCCCGGTCTTAGGGGGTCTTCTTGGCTGCGCTTCGTCTGATCCCTCACCTAGGACCTGTTTGCCTTGGGTGACCCTACCAGGGGCTTGAAGCCCCGGACAACATAGCTCCTAGGATCACTGGGACACTCAAACCCCTCCACCACGATAAGGTGGCAGCCCAGGGAGAGGGTTATTTCCAATAATATGAAATTTAAAGCCAGTGAAATCTGAAGCCAGTGACAAAAGAAAAGATTTTTCTGCAATTGCAGGTTTTACCTCATGACGATCTTATTTTTAAAATGTGTATAGGATCAAAGACTGTAACCTTTTCATGAACTTGAACATTAGGCGGCATTAAACCTCCATCACACTCTCATTAATGGCATCCGCACTTTTTAACCTCAGGATCTCATTTGCTCTTCTCTTGTGCTCTGTATTACCTCCCACGCAGCCTCTCCATCTAATATCATCTAACCATCGACGAGTTAATAATTGGGGCCTGCTTTGGCATAAAGAAGGAAAACATGACGTATCTGGCAGCTGTGACTATGCTGAGGAGGGAGCCGCTCCACAATAAAAACAAGCAGCTGGGTTCTGTCCATAATCCCAGATTCCACTTCACATACACTACTCTTGGCTAGACGGAGGGGAAGAGGGGTGGAGAAGCCAATATCTGGATGAGACGGGGGACGGGAGGGGAGCAGGCTGGAGCTTATGAACTTATATGACACTGAAGAGGAGCTGTGAAAGGGGAGATGTTGTTGATATTGTGCGGGGTCAATGGGGTCCTTGGGTGGGCAATTTCGAAGGAATGTTCACCCAAATTACAAAGTTTGCTAAAAACTTTTTCACTCATCATCAACATTAACTTTCTCTAACCTTATGAATAAGAATTTCATTCACAGCAATATGAGTTTTATGGATGCTATCGATAGTTTTTTAGATACAGCTTTACCAACAACTGGAGATCAAAACAAAAAATTAGTTGTATGTATGTATTCTATAACATTGCAAAGACAAGCTAATTAAATTAAAAGTGACTGCTCTCTCATGGAGTGTTAGGCCGCAAAAACCAGGGATGTGAGCCATAGTGTGTACTTAATGAGTCTCCCACCTTTTAGATTAACAACATGAGGCAGTCGGTCCACTTCAGATTGTTGCTGACCACATTTAACCCGATACTTTTAAGTCTGTGGGCTACATGTTTGATGTGGAACGGGACAGAGTAGGGAAGGGATTCCCACTGGGCTAGAGCTATTTGTTAAAAAAAAAAAAAGAAGGTTGTAAATTGACAGATTTTCAAACCCATCTGTCCAGGCGTAATGTGAAAACATATGTTCCTCCTGCATGTATGCGGACATGACATGGCGTTTGGCTCGGGAACACGTCCCGAGCCGTTTATGAAAGCCAGCTGTGGGATGTTTTCCCTGCCACACCCAGGCAGGGAAAGACAAAACAGTGCGAAGTGAGGTCACTACTGCAGCTTATGTAAACCAGCTGTGTGACCTTTAGGCCCGAGTGGGCGTCGGACAACACATTCATGCGTGCCGGCACGCACGTGCTCGTGTCACCTTTCGTGAAAACCTCGGTCCTCCTTCCAACCCCGTTCCAGTGATTGACCATGTTTCGTTTTCTCGATGAAACGAGATTAAACAATCACAAGAGGCTCTTGGTTTCTTCACTTTATTCTTTTTTTTTGCGTGTTAAATTCAATTTACACAACAAGGCTGCTAGTAAGATTAAACACTGATGTTGGAACGAAAGAAATAAAAAGATACTAAATGGATGAAAAAGATTCCATGCATTCTACATTCAACGTTTCTTTTTCCATGATGTAGTTATCTCAAATTTATCCTTGTACTCAGCGAAAAGTAAAAAAACAACAAAAAAACAGACCTATTCTAGCCATAGAGTATGTTTCGTCATAATATGGCCAGGATCAAACATTGTTAAAGGTTTCACAAATGCATATCTAAGTACAGTTACGAAATTAAACTACATGCCGCATAGAGTGAACGAAGCGAACATATGTACACGGGATAAAAATGACGATGACACTGACAAATGGGAGGAAAAAGGTCGGCTCTGTGGTTGATAGCGCCGTGGTAGATTGCTCCATTTCTGCCAAGAAGTGTCGGAAGCTTCAGTTTTCCCCTCCATTTTACCAAACTGTACAGTTTTCCGTGGCCATGGTCACGTGCGCAGGCACACACACATCATTCAAACAGTCTAAACGGTTTCACCCATTCTCAAGTCCTTGTATGTACAGTGCATTATGCAAGAGCTGGTTAGAAGCATGTACTGATATATACAGCTGATGCACAACAGAGGAGTGAGTAAATGTAAACGCACACTGTTAGGCACACTTAGAATTAGAGGCCAATGCATTGTCGGACAACTCTGTAAACAGATTGCAAGGCAGCGAGATGTGTTTTCCTCTCTCTGTCTGTTATGGATTGACATCAAACTTGGTTTAGTGGTGGAGGGAGCCTGAAACCAGATGACACGCTGGGACTTTGACAGCCCGTCGCTGTGACTTCAGAGGCCGAGCCAGCGCCGGTTTATTGCTCGAAAACGCCTCGCGCTTAGAAACTGCCAAATCTCCCGGCTGGTTTTCCCCCCGCCAGGCTGCCGTCAACAGCCCAGGGGACGGAGCCGTCGTCGGTGTGTGAACGTCACCTCTGCCAATAGTGTCGTCGTCGGGCCAGTTTTTTTCCCCCGTGTTTGTTGGGACACAGCCTGAGGAGGAGTCCAGAGGCCCGAAAACAACCGAGTGCGGATGTAAAGGAGATTATAAGAATCTCTGATGGGCCTCTGTTGTTAGGCAGTTTTTTTTTTTGTGGTTTAGAAAATCTTGAAACGTGTATGTGTGTGTGTGTGTGTGTGAGTGTGTGTGAGTGTCTGTGTGGAAGGGCATTCCTGGAGCTGCTGAGGGACCGTTTCACAGCTCCGTGTCTGCTGTCTTGGTGGTGGAGTGGCCGTTGGTAGGGGGAGTCTGGGTCTTGGCCGCTTCCGGGGACTCTCCGTTTACACTGGGTTTCTCCGGGGTTTCAGGAGGTGGGTTGAGGGGGGCCACGGATAAAAGGGTGTCACCCTGATTCTCTTGATCTACCTGATTGGCCTCCTCTGCCTGGTAATGAAACACAAGATGCACTTCATTAAAGACAAGGCATATTTGAGTGGCACTCAAAAAGGTTTCGCAGTGCTAAGAGGGAACAGCTTTGGACTAGTTTGGAATCCTTTTTTTGTTTGGACCAGTGATTGTGTATCCCCTCGGTTTTCTGTCAGTTATGGAGTAATAAGGATTGGGAAAGCCTATTAGGTTGTTTCCACCCCAAGATCAAAGCGAACCAAGCATATGTTATTTGTGCTCCATGCATATTTTGCGAATTATCTTTTCTGAGAGAAAAAAAATCCTCCTAAACTTTAAAGTTTTAGATGTAACTGTTGTCCCAGCATCTGGGAGATGGAGTGGGACGTCAACACCAGGACAAATTGGCAACTGGCTTGAACATTTTCCTCTTTTGTCTTCTCTCTGTAGAATGTTGGATTCCGAATTGTTTGTAAATAATGTCATGACCCTTCCCAGAAAAATGGACAGCATCAATGGCTTCCCTCAGGGTTTTCTCTGAATTCTTAAGGAAACAGTTGTGTCTCCGTAGTTTTGAACATACTGATCTGCAGTATGGTCTTATGTTTGTTGGATGAATAGGCATGTAGTTTAATAAACACTTACCTGTTATAGTTCTGAAATTGTGTTTATATAATTTCAATTTCAAGATGCATGTTAAACATCAGGAGTAAAGCAAGAAATGTTTTCTCTTTCACAAAAAGGTTATTTGAAAATCTAAGTCAGATCCATCATCAACTCAGTGGTTCTCCCATATTACCGAGGAACTCATACAAACAACCACTCTTATGTGGTCGCTGTCATGAGAAATGTTGTGAATGTTGCAGAGAAACAGCTGTGTCTCGCTAGTAGATGAACTGGCGAGATTTGCAATTGGGCGTGGGTCTGCAGATTAGACGCCCCCTCCTCTTTTGCACATTTTCTCCACCAGCATCACTGAATTAAAAAACACTGGCGGGCCATTTTTCAAAAAAAGGAACATGTGCTGTTATGATTCCATATGTCCCAATGCATAAACTCAACCCACTGAAATCCATTCAGATAAACACGGAGCCTCACAATGTAAACTGTGATGACTTATGATGCAGATTTCATGATATGGGAAATAACTCTGCCTACACCAACATGCGTAACTGAAATCTACTGTTACGTTATTTTACCGCAGAGAGAAGACGTAAACCAGATCAAGTCCACGCAGAAACAAAGAGACGGCACATTCGAAGATAAACGTAAAACTAGACTTACCGGCCCCGCTCCCTTGGCGCTAGGCCTGCGCTGGAACTTGAAGTACCCTACGGTGATCGCAATGGCAGCGAGCAGACCAGTGACCAGTATTCCCACAAATACAGAGGAACCTGTGGATGCCGGGGTCTCAGTATTGGTCACGCCCAACTATAAGAAAAGGCCAAAGAGGAAGTTATAGGAAATAAAACACAGACAATAAATATACAGATAAATAATGGGTTACAGAGAACAAATCTTAGAGTGTGGCGCTCTTTCCGGTGACGTTTATTCTATCAAAACAATGCAGAGCTGCAGATTGATGTAAAATGTTTCAGTGCTTAAGATCTTTTTAGGACAGATGATAAGAGCAGTGTTGCTTACCGTTTCTTTCAACTCTTCGCTCTTGAGGGCGCCAGCCAAAGTAGCAAAATCAGCTGCAGGTTCAACAAAGTTTTACAATGACGCATTTCAATTTCTAACGCAGACAGTAGATGATTCATTAAGAATGTACAAGTGTATACCTCTGATATAATTGAGGCCATAAACACTCACCGTCTCCACTGGCCACGAGTACTTTGTTGCCATCCTGGAAGATTTCCAGGTTACAGCTTTCCAAGGAGCACCAGGGTGCAGGGTTACTCAGAATAATTTGCTTTGTGGCCTCCTGTAAGTAAACACATACATGTAAAAGGGTTGAGTGAAGTCATTGATTACCTGAAACTCAAAAGCGTAAACATTGTTGAACATTTTCCTTCCTTTAATGAGAGACGCTGTGCTGACCATCAAATGTGCGTTTCAGAGTTGGCCACGCAGGCCTTTTGTGCTCCACAATGCAGTGACCGCACCTTATTTTTTCCCCATGGCTTATGATATTAACCTCCTTGCACAACTCCACGCTCGTCATTTTTCTGTAATGTGATCCAGACAGCTCCCCGAAACCTCTGAAGACCACTAGGAGTAAACTCCAAATTCCCAGATAGTTGGGAGGCGGCCCACAGCTTGACTCTAGCAACTCTAAAGCTCCGGGATGGGAGGAAGATCTCGAAGGGTGGAACTCGAGCAGTAAAAATTACTCCCATGAAATTCACTCTGATCTTCGTCTTCTTACTTGCGAGCGGCCGTGTCCTGCAGCGCCTCATGCTCTTCCCCGCTTGACACCACATGTCCTCCTGCACTCGTTCATGGTGTGAATTTGATGAGTTGAGTAAACATGTTTTTTAAGGGTTTGGAGACGGTGGAGATGTGGACCGCATGTATAAAGCTGTTTGATTGGCTTTTTTCACTCCTCTGCACATTTTCTGTTGATCATCTGTTGTGAATTTTGACCATGAGTTTGATGTTAAGGTATGGTCTGAGTTATCCCTGCAGATGGTCTTGGCTCTGCAAAGGCTGATGAGCTAAATACCCTAAAAACTGGGCTGGGAAATTTCACGGGGAAAACAAATCACATTTTTTTGTGTTCTTTTTACTGAAAGAAAATAAAATAAAATCTTATTAAAGATTATCAGAAAATAATAAAAACGGGGGAAATTCCACACCCATAGGAGCTAAAGTCATTTTTCCTGAAAGTGAAATTATATGGAACATAAAACATAAACTAATTGACCACATAGATAACCATTATAAGAAACAATTATTTTGTTATTGCATGGTATTGTATGACGTGATTAAAGACTGTCCTTTCAGTACTCTTAGACAGAAATGGTAGTAGAGACACCGGCCGATAGTTTTCCACCTGAGTCGGTGGGAGAGAGGGTTTCTTGAGCAGCGGTGTAACCAGAACTTGCTTGTACGAGTTAGGAAACATGTCTGATGTGAGAAAGGCATTGACCACGTGCAGTTATGGACTATGGGCTATGGACTGTAGGAACAGGGTCCGGCAGGCATGTACTAGGATGGCTACATGTGAGGAGTTTAGACACATTTCTCTCAGTGAGAGGGGTAAATGAAGAGAATGAAGCAGCGGGAGTTTTTGGGGAGATCTGCACTGAATTGAATGAAATAGTGATCAGAAAAATGCAGAGGTGTCACAGAAACCACAGCTCTGTAAAACATTTGCAACGTCTTCCTTTCGGTGGACTGAGCCACTTCCTCTGGGCACAAGGTGTTGGGCCTCAGATAAAAGTCCCATCAGGAAGAAGATGTCACCAGAGGGGAAATTGGGAACAGCTCTCTCCTCGTGTTTCTCTGTGTGGCTACGCATTCTACCGACCAAAACCGCAGCTGTCGTTGGCTGGACGCTGGCTGCGGTTGGTCAGGAAGTGAAGCAATGTGAAGGAGTTGTAAAAGAAAGGTTGACTCGCACTCACACAGTCAGATGTGGCCACTTCAGCCTTGACAGCTTTGCCTTCTTGGATCCCTTCTTTCCCGACACACTTCACTTCAGGCTGCGAAGACAGGAAGTGAGCTCAGATTTACAGATGTGTAACTTAAGCCTATGCTCTGTTAACACCAAAAAAGAAAAACATGGGAATATACTTTACATTAAAAAAAAATGTCTGGCTTTGGATAGTGAGTGCTGTTAACTGTCCCTGAAAAGTGACCGATACAGGCAACGCTTACCACGACTGATTTGATCATCTCCACAGGTGCCTCTGTAACAGCCTCCTTATTTTCCAAGGGGACGATGTGAGGGGCACTGTCTGCGGGGGTTGCTGGGACCGGTTTGTCACTGGAGGCGGCGGAGGCCGTAGCAGACTCCCCACTGCCTGCGGGGATGACCGGGTCGCCCGCGTCGGTGGGGTCAGGGGCGTCAGAGGCCGCGGCAGGGGCGGCGGAGGCCTCCGGGCCCGCCGAGGCATCTGGGACAGCGGCGGCGGCGGTCGGGGGGTCAGCAGCATCTGTCGCAGAGAACACACAACGACTGGTCAACCCAGACCACCGCGGGCCCCTCTTACAGCAAATCCGGACAAATGCAGTTCATAAAACACATTGAGACGCTTTTGTGGTTCAATTCAATTCAATTTTATTTATATAGCGCCACATCACAACAACAGTTGTCTCACAGCGCTTTCCAAACAGAGCAGGTCAGACCCTACTCTGAAGTTAATTACAGAAACCCAACAATTCCCACCATGAGCAAGCACTAGGCGACACAGGCAAGGAAAAACTTCCTTTTAACAGGCAGAAACCTGGAGCAGAACCATGGCTCAGGGTGGGCGGCCATCTGCCTCGGCCGGTTGGGGGTGAGGGTACAAAGAGGGCAAGAGAGAGAGGGCTGGAGAAGGACAGAGGAAGTAGAGAGGCAGCCAACACAGCAACACATGGACCAGATGAAAAATGGCATTGATATAATAATGATTATGGTAGAAGCTATGACAGAAATAACACTATGCAGAGTAGTAGCAGAGCAGGAACATGGGGGCAGCAGGAAACTCCCAATCACAGATCCAGACTCCACAGCTCTAGGAACACCTGCAGGAAGTGATAGGAGGAGACTCCCAACTACAGAGCCAGACCCCACAGTTCCAGAACCAGGAACACCTGCAGGAAATGTCTCTGGTGATATCTCTGGCCTCCTACCATCCACGCTGTCTCCATCCGGGGCATCTGGCGCATCTGGGGCATCTGGGGCATCTGGGGCATCTGGCGCGTCGTCGTCGTCCTGACACATCACCTCACCTGCAAGACAGAGGAATCGAATGACAGGGGCCTCAGCCTTCACGGTTTCTTTTTTATCGCCAAGGTTCTCTGCCATCTCAATGTAGCAGGATAGGATCACGACCATTTGCCCTCCTCCCCGTGTAAATTCACACACCAGATGCAGATATTTGGCTTCTCACCCTTGTTTTGAAGCGTCTTAACCTGTTATGGGCTGTGGATCTCCACCTGCACTGGAACTGGAACAGGTTGTGAGGAGCATTATTCTAACTCATCTCTGCACTGGCTTCCTGTCACTCAGAGATTAGACTTTAAAACAGCCCTGCTTGTGTACAAGTCTCTTCATGGTCAAGCACCGACATACCTTTCTGACATGTTAGAGCCAAATGAACCAGCTCGGACTCTGAGAAACTCAAGTCAGAGTCAGAACTAAACAAGGTGAAGCTTCATTTCAGTTCCATGCCCCTAAAATCTAGAACAGTCTTCCTGAAGACGTGAGACATGCCCCAACTCTGACAATGTTTAAATCCAGGCTGAAAACGGTTCAGTTTAACTGTGCATGTGGAAATTGAATGTACTTTATCGGCACCCTTTACTTTATCTATATCTATTTTATTTATCTATCTATTCTTTCTTTGTTTTTCTGCTTTTAGATTCTTTGTGAAGCACTTTGAATTGTCTTGTTCATGAAATGTGCTATACGAATAAACTTGCCTTGCCCTATCAGTCCTGAAGTTTTGAATTGGTGTCCATTCATGTTTTGGTTTAATTAATTCTATGAACCATTGAACTCGAGGGCTGTTTTTAATTCCGATCATATGTTCATTTAGGCAGGGTTGGTGGTCCTACACACACTTCTGTAACTGCCTCTGCATTTTCTTAGCGATTTGTCAATTTTAAAGCATTCAAATTAAATCTATTTCTAATAGCAGCCGGTGATATTGTCTACAATGAGAAAATATTTGAAGGAAGAATAATCTATGGATTCTTCCTAAACAGAACACTGATAAAACAGCAAAAGAGAAGGACATATATGGGGGTTGGGTTGCTGGTTATAGTATAGGGCGATGAAATAAAGATGTCTGGAAAAGATTTGGTGTTTTCTTTTTTTTTTTTTAAGCGTGATGGCATGCAAAACAGTGTGCATGTGTTAAGAAGTTTATTCTCAACACACAGAATAATATTTAAAGAAAAGGCAACCAATTTAGGTCCTTTTTCTTACTGATTAAAGGTAAGCGACACATACCAGAATGCAGGGGGCTTCATTTGCTCCACCCAGCGTGAGAGTATTTGATGTCCTCTGAATTATCATTGAATCTTACTCAGACTGCTCTTTTGTAACAATGAACACTATCTAAAACACACTCTTGGTGGAAAAAAAAATGCACTAATGAGGTCAGGGCAGAGGGTAGGTTTGAACAGCTTGTCTTGGTGATTCAAACCCATGTCCAACCTAATTTGGCACTTGTTCTCAAGGGCACAGATAATTAGCGGCCACATATGGGCTCATCCACGCTGTAGGCCGTCCATGCAAATCAACAGCCTGGTCAAAAGGGCACGGCCTCCTGACCACACCTCCATCTCCTCCAAGAGATTCAGTTTCTGCAATCCCTTCTGGATTATTTAGGCGGGGCATGAATTTGGGAAGATTAAAACGCATTTCCTGAAGACCGAAAAACATTTCCTCACTTGAATCGAGGAAAGCATTTCCTGTTAATAACCACGAATCCTTTTGGATTCTGTCGATCTCACAAAGAGATAGCGTCTGTACACAGCTCTGCATAATCATGGGCATCAACACCTCTAAACAAAAAAATCCAAACCGATGTGTGAACATGATTTAGTTAATCACCAGATATGCTCATGTTAGTGCCTCGGACTCCGATGTTTAGAGTGACGTTACGATGCCATAAACAAACTGTGGATTGTTATCCAAGCAGAGAGAGGAATCTTAGAACCGCGAGCAAAAAGCTGGAGTTTCATCCATTTTTCCCAGTGACCACCCTGACTCATTTATCCAACACAGGGGATCAGTTTATGAAAACCATGGTTTCATCAACGGTAATTTCACCTCAGGCTACCATCATACTGAACCCTTTGTTATGTGTGTGGTGTTATGCTGGTTAGTTTATGAATGATTTAGTCACACCACTGACTTGACGTAGTAAGACGCTGATGAGACTGATTTCATTTTTTTTAAAATCTCATTGTCTCAATTCAAGTGGAAAATTTGTCCCCAAAAAATCTGGCCTTTATAATGACACCTCTGATGGGCACGATCTTATGTGCAACATTGCCCTATTTAGTAAGTAATGGGTTATTTTCAAGGGAAGGAAATATGTAGCATTGATTGATTTATTTATTCATTGATTGGCTTTTAGGAGATTAATAAAATCTCCAATTCCTTTGAAATTTCAATAGGTCTATCTAAGCCATTGATATAGACAGAAATAAATTCTACCAGCTTTTATTTATGTTATCATGAAATTGAATAAAATCTTTTTTTATTTGCTATGAAAGTTTTCCTTGTTGCATAGTATTTGAATGTGGGATTTGTGTCCAAATTGTCAGGCATTTATACACTGGAGCACTCCCCAGACACCTCAGACAGCTGTGTGAAAAATCTCACCGTATTTCCAGCTAACACTCCCCTCTCTAGCATCAACATGAACCCATAGAGCCTCCTGTTCTAACATTAACGTGGAGAAACATATATACTGTAGCACATCTTCACCACAAACATGGATCTGGCTTCTTTCCAGAGAGTTTTAGAGATGTGTGTCATGCAACCTCCGGGTTTGAGGAAGTTTTGCTCCTCACAGCCCGTTTGGCTAAAGGGCTACATCGATTCCAGACGATTTCATGCCCTGGCTGTCCTCCTCGAAGTTTCATCATCAAGGATTTCTAGTTTTAGATGTGATGTGTTAGTTATGCCAATATATATTAAGAGAGACAATAAATTGACTCCTGAGGAGAAAAATAAAAAGGACAATGGCAGTAACCTAATTTGGGAATAGGAAACAATAGTTCATTTTCATGTGTATTAAGTCACAGAGTATGTCTGCTGATACATTTAAAGAAGATACACCATCCAAACCAATTACTGAGCTGACATTTACACTGGCAGAAAGTTAGATATCAGGTCACAATGCTTGACATAATTGTCCGAGTCAGATAGCATGTTTCAGACAATTTAATTTGAACCCGTCTCCTCTCCGGTGGGAAACCTTTCATCACCTAAAACACATAAACAGATTTATCAGTGGAATTTTATGAGCACTGTTCTACAACACAAAAGAATACAAAGCCCTCAACTCCCTCTGGAGACTCGCTACAGACAACAATGCTGATACACACATTTTACCAAAGCATTTGTGAAGTCTAAAACATGTGATCTGTGTGTTTTACTGAATTTTAATATATATAAACCTTTTTTTCCCCAATTTCCTGGAAAGGATATTCACTAATCTATGATTGTGTGTATGCATAATGCAAAAAACAAACAAATCAACACATACACACACAAAAAAAAAACACCAATCCTAAAGCCCAAAAGTTAAAAAATGCCATTACATTATCCTTTGAAAAGCAACCAGCTAACTAATTGTTAGTTATCCAGTTACTGACTATAGGCATGTTTTTTCAATGCCAGTACTTGCAGAATTTGGAAAATCTACTTAAATCGAGGAGGAATGCTGACATCAAGAGGAACTTTATATTTTTTTGTTGAGAACTTCATTCTGACGATTCTGTAATTTTGAAAAGGAAATCAAGAAAGACACTCCCTAAATTCTCTTTTAAAAACTTTAGCACAAGAGTTGTGACCAAAAGAGCATAATTCAATAATAATGTTTGCATGATTCAGCAACAGTGTTTGGTATTAGCTCTCTTTTCTGTTTCAACTTTATTCTCTCATCATCTGTTTATCTCTTGTTTGCCAATATACTTGCATCACTGGATTTTGCTGAATGGAGTGTGAAATGGTTTGAAAAGAAGGCATTAGGAGTCAGACACAAAAGTGACATTTGGATATCAGGGCCCCTAAACGTAGCATGTCATGACAGAAGGGAGTATGTCTCCCTCTTTCTGCAATTGACAGAAATCGACAATGAGAAACCTGGACACATTTCTCCTCTGCCCCTGTCAGTTAGCTACATATTGCAGCTTGTGTCTGCATAACACTTACTTTTAAGAACAACCAATGCAATGAATGAATGCAGGATATGTGGGACAGCCGGGAAAAACATGCACATGCATAGCTGACAGCACATATATTTTAAGCCTTGGAATGGTTTGTTTGTGTCTCCCAGCAGAGACTGGGATTTAAAGACCTAATTTTATTTACTTAGTAAATTCTTTTCTATCATGAATGGCTTATAAAATACCTTTCCACGAAAAAAGAAGAGCTGTTTTCTTCATGCTTTTGTCAGACTTTTAAAGACTTGGAAGTTTGCTTCACTTTGAACATAGATTACATTTCTGACACCGGTTTAGACCACTCCCTTCTTGCATTTGTACTTTCAGGCCCTGATCTGGGTTAATGTCTGCCTTTATCCTTGTTTTTTTTTTTTAACTGTGAGCAATTTCAATCAGAACATGTGCATGTGTGCCTCACTGCTCCCACAGTCCGCTATCTACAATGTTGCTCATCTTTCAAGGCCTTTTTTTTTTTTTTGCTCTCTGTTCCTTGAGTGTAACGTCTCATTGTGGCTGCCAGTCCTGCTTTTGAATCCAGGGGTGAGAAAGAAGCAGGAAATTGCTGCAAAAACAGACACTGTCACACCTGATTAAATGGCTGCACTCGGAGAGTTTGTGCAGGAGACAGCGGCTCTTTTGCTTCTAACTTATGGTATTTGAGGCCTGCTTCCTCCCTGGGGAGGTTGGGGTGGTGGCCTTAAGAGGCGTGGGGGATGAGTGCAGCAGCTGGAGTGAGTATCCTTTAGGGAGCTCTTCCCCTTTCTGCATATGGGCTGTGCTGTGAACTCATGCAAACAGAGAGGAGTCCCAGCCCTTCGTCTAGG